GGAGGCCTCCCCGTCGGCCTCCTACACTCACCTCATCACAACACTATTCACAAACATCCTACACAAACCATCTCCATCCACATCCACACTCACTCACTCACGCACACGCACACACACACACACACACACACACCTCAAACACAAACACAAACACTCAACATCCGACAACTCACAATACATCCACTCTCTCAAACACTACATTTTCACATCAACAACAAACAGTGCGACTACGACTACGACTCCCACTACTACATTACTAGTACGACACATGAGGATCGCGCACATTCTCAAATTACATCAACCTATCCACACTTACTGCTAACACCTCCAAATCACACCAACACATTCAATATTCTAATCAACCAAACACTCTCACACTTCGCTCTCTCCTAGATCAATTACACAAAATTCATTGTGCATGCACTTTATAAATCCGTATCTACATATCTAAATATATACATATGAAGGTATATAGTTATGTGTACATATATACATATACATGTATATATTCATATATATACCATATATATACCTACACGTATCTATTTGACATGCCGATCTCGTCAATTTCCACAAGTACGAATATACTGGGGCACTGCCTAAACCATTTCACTACCATCGTCCACCATCCAGATTACTAGCAGTAACCGTAGAATAATAACACACTTCAAATCCCGTGTCCCACAGACATGAGCGAATTCGAAGAGAATCGCGTCACACCGAACTGACCAATACACAGGCAGACTGATATCTCATCATCGTCACGTGTGGCGTACTTCTCCAAACAGTTGTCACGCTCCAACACAAGCCATCCGGGAACAACTGCTCACAGGACTAGTTCAGATTAGCGCATACATTCCACTCACTCATCTGATGCACTAATGCTGGTCCACACAGAACATCACTCGCCAATGATTCATAGTGATCAGATGACGACCTGATGGCGATCCGTCACGGAGCCTGTGATCGCTGATGTCGGCATCTTACGTGGTCAATGCAGACCATTTCGACTCTGACTTACCTCCAAGTCTCATCAAAGCCCGTCCTTACACATTCCTCTTGTGTCGTGTGTGTCTGCGAATATCTGTCAAGTGTTTGTGTAGACGAACTGGTGTACGGAGACGGAGAGTCGCATCATCACTCCCACCGACCCGTCGAATGCTCCGCTCCGCTCCAATACCCACTCTTCAACAGATCAGTCAATACATAACGCCTAACAACAGTGTCGCCACAGCGCACAACCAGTCACACAATTCTGTGGCGATAATCATCTCGTTTCATGTACTCCAGATGCATCGGAGTCGGGTGAAAAACTGGTTCCGCCTCATTTTCTTTCGGTTACTTCTTACACTGCTCTGTTTTCTTATTTTTCTGTTAGCTATCCTGTTTGCTTTGTTTAATTTTCATTGTTTTTATGCATGAATTTTTCCAATAATTCTTCTGTTTCTTTTTTTTTCCTTTTTTTATTTACTATTTACCTATCTGAGTTTATCATCTGTTTTATTTTCTGGTTTTCACGTTCTTGCTTGTCTTTTTTCGTTGTTTTGATCCATCGTGATTATAGGCAATTATTTTCTTTTTCGCTTTTTTGTTCCTGGACTCTTTTAAATTTTCGTTTATTCTTATTTTAATATATTCTATGTTGTTTCGACCAATTTTTCTTTCATGAAGTCCTTATTACTGTTTGTTATTAAGTTATCATCATGACGTATTTGCAAATAAATTTAATCTTCAAAACCTACTTGTTTTTAATGGATGCTTGTTTTTCTAGTTCTAATTCTTTCCGTACTCGAACCATCTCCTGATGAATTAATTCTTCTTCTCGTTTCTCTTCTGCTTGCCTCAATTTTTCATCCTTTTTTCAACATGAAACACAATCAGCAATAAAAACAGTCATTCGAGAATTTTATGATATAATGATATAAATATGTGTACATTTACATGTAGATAGAGTGTGTATGCGTGTGTGTGGGAGAAGGGGATGCATCAATCTTTTCTTATCATGAGTTCCTTTACTGTAAGACACAAAATATCGACTAGAACATTTTTAATTAAACAGTGATAGTTGTTTCTCGAAGCTGATTGTTTAACATGTTGATAACGTCTTTGGTTGTTATCTCCGTAAAAAACCACGTTGTTTCTTAGGTCTGGCTATATAATTAGAAAAACTCCATAACCTGATTTCGTCATTATTATCTAAATGATTCCAAAAATTTGAAATTGGTATAGAACAAGTGAATACGATGTTACTCGAAGCTGGTTGTTTAACTTGTGGATAACGTCTTTGGTTGTAATCTCTGTAAGAAACCACAAATGATGCAGCTTGTTATCTATCAATATCTTCATTAGTTTAGCAGCTGCTCGGGTAATAATTCAAGTCTCGGAGGGTCCATGTGATCCCATTCCCGTCGCCAAATTGTTATGCTCGTCAATTGATATGCTTGAAACTATTATGAGTTCACTTTAGTCGGTAAACGAGAGTGAAGACAAATGATCCAGTGGCACGATAGGCTACTCTAATCCGAGCGTCCCAAAGCCCCACTAAGTAGGAGAAGAAGTCTTGACAAGACGTAGTAAGTGTATTCTATAAGCACCCTGGAAATCGAGGTTGACATGCACACAAATCGAGTTTATTTATACATGATAGGAACGTCCTTGGGAGGGCCACAAAAATAGCGAACTGAAATAATACATCGAACCCATCAATGACCGTCAAGGATTTTCCGGGTGGAACTGTAATCTCTAGGTCAAGTGATCAGTCCATGCGCGAAAACATAAAATCCAAAATTAGGACCTTTATCAAGTGAGTTCTAGGGATCTGGCGTCCCCAACACTTAGGTTTTGCTGTGAAATTGCAAAAACTCCATAACCTGATTTCGTCTTTATTATCTAAGTGATGCTAAATATTTATTGAAGATCGGTGTAGAACAAAAGAATACGATTTCGAAATCTACCTTCTTTAAAAATTAGTCCTCTAACGTATCACAGTTCTATATTAAACAAAATGAAACTTGAGTGGAAATACATTAAAATCAAGAAGAAGCATTCAAGAGAACTTAAAACAAATAGATTTAGAGTATTGGGATTTAAAGCTCATTAAAAATCAATTTGACTAGATGATAACTTTCCTCACTTAAATGCACTGGTACAAGAGTTACTGAAGGCCAGAGAGCTTCTGAAATTTGTTACATTCCACAATAGGACTCAATCCCCATTGTGTGCCTGTGTTCTCGCCCACGATCGAATCCTGAACTTTCATAGATGATCACTAGTGACTGATTTTATGATAGACCTCTAAAGTTCATGCAAAACGTGTAACTAATAGAGTTCTACAACGTCATATATGAAGAAGTCTCTCGATACGATATCACAAGTTAAGTGAATTCGGAAACATGGATAACAGTAGATCAACCCAGTGTTTATCATGCAACATGTCATATCTCATGTTATAATGAAACAGACATCCAGTATTCCATAATCTAAACAACGTATTTTCAATTCAACAACAGAGTCTACGAACAAATAAAAGAAACACCAATGGGATTACCAATATCAGGACTCATTGCGGAAGCTGTAATGCAAAGACTAGAAGCGTTGATTTTGCCAGTGATCAAGCCAAAAATGTGGGTTCGCTATGTAGACAACACATTCGTCATTATCAAAAGAAACGAGCTAATGAACATCTACAATCAGATCAACAACATCTTTGATGACATCAAATTCACAATGGAAAAGGAATCAAACAACAGTCTATCATTCCTAGATGCACTAATCACCAGAACTAACACAGGAAAACTGGAAACTCAAGTATTTCTCAAGCCAAATCACACAGACTCAATTTTCAAATACGGTAGTAACAACCCAAGAACCCACAAAATCAACTGCATACAAACTTTGTTCAAGAGAGCGAAGACGCATTGCGACACACATGTGGCACTAAAAAACGCGGAAAAACATCTTATGACTATCTTCCAAAAGAACGGCTATCCACGCAACTTCATCAAAAAACATCAACCGAAATCGTCAACAGAAGCGAAATCAAGTACAGGAACCAATAAACGGATCATCCTACCATACATAAAAGACATATCGGAACATACAGCACGACTACTGAAACCATTTGGAATAGGTGTGGCACACAAACCAACGGAATCACTTCAATCAATCCTATGTAGACCAAAGGACAAAATGACAAATGAAGAAAAACCAAATATCATATACAAAATAAATTGCTCAGACTGTGAAAAACACTACATAGGACAAAGTCGACGGCCTCTTCAGCTCCTTTTACGTGAACATCAATTAGCAGCCAAACGCCACGACAAAGCTTCGCTTATATCAATACACACCGACAACAATGGACATACATTCGAATGGGACAATGTGGAAATACTGCATAGGGGGAGGACAAAGAACACTAGGGAATTCTTAGAAGCTTAGCACTCAGGTCAATCAGCAATCAACAAACGCATCGACACTGACCCAATTTATCAACCAATCAGAAAAATCATAGGTGACATAGGATCAAGAAACAGATCAAAAGGGAGATATAATTAAAACGAAGGTACAAACAACGACAGGTTTAAGGTCAACAACAACCAATCAAGATCTAGGTTAGCAAAACAAGCTACAGGTCAGACATGGAGAAATTCGAATGCTTCACTTCAATCTGAAGTTTGTGCTGATGATATTGTTCAGCAGACGAACAATGAAAGCTCCACAACCAAAACAACCAGCTCAGAGAACTAAACACCACCACAATCTTCCACCTGAGCTACAAATTTTCTCCACCATATCACTTCATGTCAATCTGTAACAAAAACGATCTTTTAAAATTTGAACATGTTGACGATTGATAAAAGTATAACATATGATTATGAATCAAGCATTATGAAGAGTAGCAGGAAACAAATCAATCAATTTATAACTCTAAATACACACATGCACCGTAGTAGAAACATTCAAATTATTTAGTTGAATGAATGATTTGTACAAAATAATTACGGTAGAAAAATCATATCTACTTGTTTTGCTTTGTATAAAATTTGTGCTTTCATTTGACGATCATTCGCTTCACGTAGACGACGTGATTCCAATTCTTTTTGACGCAGTTCACGACGTGCTTTAGCTTCTTCTTGACGTAAAAGAATTTTTTCCAATGTTGAATGACGTTTTGATGAACAGTCAGAATGATGAGAATTTGTAGTTTTAGAATCATGCTCTAAATAATGCATATTTTTCACTTCATATTCATCATCTGTAAACTGAAATTTGAGCCAAAAAATAACCACGCACACACACAGTGAGATTGATAAGTTCATAGAATTATGTCATTGTTGTAATAGTGTGGCATTTTATGAGTTAAACAATTTAGTGGTGTCATTTTAAAATGTTTATCTATATAACATAAAATTATGTTAAACAAAACAAAGATTCTCTACACTAACCAGATACCATTAGCAACAACCTACTGTGGGAGAGAAACAAACTAGATTCCAACACAGGAAGAGATCAGAAAGAAGCGCTAGAGGTGGATAGGACACACATTAAGGAAAACACCCGACTGCGTCACAAGACACACCCTCGCTTGGAATCCTCAGAGCCAGGTAAGAAGAGGAAGACCAAAGAACACATTACGCCGAGAAACAGAGACATACATGAAGAGAATGGACACCGATTGGACAGAACTAGAAAGGAAGGGTTAGGACAGAGTAGGCTGAAGAATGCTGGTTGGTAGCCTATGCTCCATAAGGCGTACCAGGCGTAAGTAAGTAAGTAAACGAAGATTTATTAGAATTTCTTCATAAGCTAACATTCACTTATGGATTGACATGGATGAAAGATATCTGGAAGCTAAGGACACGATTCGATATCCTGAAAGTCATTGGTGTTTTTTGTATTTAAAGTAATCAATAATCACTGCCACGAAATATTAAACGTGGACAAAGTACCCGACTGATGCCCACTCGTTCCTAGTTTCTAGTACTTCACCATATGCCGCTAGTTTGTCATTTAAAAAATCACCTCACAATATGTAAATATTGATATTAAAGTACTAAATACAATAAAATTGGTATATTTAGTGTGCGGATAACGCTAAAAGCAAAGATATGCATTTCATACTTTTTTAAGGCTCATCAGATGAATGTGTCTCTATCCTAGTGTTGTGTCACCATTAAATTCAAATTCAGCACTTTTAAATTAAGGCTCTGACAAATTATCTTTAAAGATCAGGAGTTCACTTGACTACCAACTTATTCAACGGGTGGAAAAACTACATAGTGGTTTGTAATTGTCGGTTGTTGATATATGCTACGAGCAAATATAGTAATAAAAATTGATCAATCATGCCGAATTACAAGCAGTTACCCCAAAATGATGAATTCAGTTGATCATTAAATTAGGAATCTAACAACATTAAAATAATTTAATACAAAAATTACTTTTGCATTATAGGGTTGTGGAGATTGTTGAGTCACTTATTGAAATCATGAATCGATCAATGTTAGACTACCATTAGAAACCTGGAAGTACTGGAGTTCAACCCTGTTTGGGTGTGAAATGAGTGCTCACCGAAGACAGTATATGAGGTTGCGCAAGACCGTAATCGAAGTTAGACATCAACACCAATACCGGCGAGGCGTTCGTGCAAAACCGAAGGTCCTGGGTTCGAATCCTGCAAGGAACAGGACTCCTGGATGAGTCCCATACCAGGAAGAAACATCTGTCCAGTGCTTCCTGTTGGTGGTCCAACAATGATCGATGAACGATTTCAATGAGTAATTCAACAATCTCAACAACCCCATAATGAAGGTAACTTCTATTTCTACAATTGAAAAATATCTGGAACTCCAAACAACTTTAGACCAAAACCAAAATCAGGATTTTCAATACAAATGTCAAGACAGTTCTACTGTATGGAGCGGAAACTTGGCGAACTACAAAAGCCATCATCCAGAACATACAAGTGTTTATGAACAGTTGTCTACGCGAAATACTTCGGTTTCGTTGGCCAGACACCGTCAGCAACAACGTACTGTGGGGGAGAACAAACCAGATTCCAGTGGAGGAGGAAATCAGGAAGAAGCGGTGGAAGTAGATAGGACACACACTACGAAAAGCACCTAACTGCGTCACGAGACAAGCCCTCACATGGAACCCTGAAGGCAAAAGGAAAAGAGGAAGGCCAAGGAACACACTACGCCGAGAAATAGAGAAAGATATGAGAGGAATGAACAAACACTGGACAGAACTGGAGAGGGAAGCCCAGGACAGAGTTGGTTGGAGAAAACTGATGGGCGGCCTATGCTCCATTTGGGGTAACAGGCGTAAGTAAATAAGTAAGTAATGGGGTTATGGAGACAGCGGACTTTTCGAAATCACGAATAAATCAATGCTAGACCGCCGAAGATGAGGTTGCGCAAAACCGAAGGTCGTAGGTTCGAATCCTGCCAGTTTCAGGAGTCGTGGATGCACATTGCTGATGAGTCCCATATTGGAACGAAATGGCCCTCCAGGTTTTTAATGTTTGTCTAACATTTAACGTAAATATATCAAAATCTGAGGCAGTATTTAGATCAATCTGTAATCTAGTTTATTAATCGGTACGAAGTAGACGGATAAATCATATGAACAGTATTCAAATAAATGAGACAGTTGGAGGGAATGAAAAAGTTAATAAGTGCACGAAACCTACATTTAGAACGAGGCATAAATAATAATATCGGGCGGGATAGACTGATTCAGCTCTTGTAAAGCAAATAGAGAGTTCAATTCTACAACTAGAGCAGCTAATATCGAGAATATGCAGAACAAGAATTAAACATTCCACATCAAACGATCCACATCCGAGAACACGCCATTAAAAGCATTGACCTAACAAACAAATCCTGTGTATCGTTTCATCAAAATAACTAATACGTCAAGAAATCTGCTGTAATCAGTGTACGACTGTCGATTAGAAATATTATGTGAAGTCTGATCATCAAATGGTAGAGGAAATTTGCAGCTCTGATGGATGATTTGAGTGGACTTTCAATCTCTGAGCTGGATTTTTTGGTTGTGGAGCTTTCATTTTAGACATCCGCCTGAAATTTATGCTAATGATGATGTTCAAAAGAACACTGAAAGCTCCACCACCGAAACATCCAACTCAAAAAGCGACAAAATTCCACCTTAACCATTCTGATTACATTGTGGTGCTAGCTACTTATAAGTATTATATGACGTGAGTGTGAACGTAATGTCTGGTAGCAGAAGATGGGGGAAGATCAAGAAAGGAAGAGTTAGAAAACAATGGAATTTGTATGAAACGCATGAATAGTGACAATGGATTGATGTTTTGCAACAGGAACAACAGTCCAGTTCGATATGATGAACTGATATTTTGCAAATGAACAATTTCCGATATGGTTTTCCAATTTTACTGATTAACTCTGTAATTTTCGTTAAATATAATTCGGTTGCCCCACCTGTGTTCTCATTCACTACAACATGAGATATGTTAATATTCTAATTTACTGTACTTCAAATACTTAAAACTAAAAAAATAACTGAATTCGAAACGTATTACACTAAGAAGTATCGATTTTTCGACGGACTGACTAACTGACTGACTGTTAAAGTGTTTTTTTTGCAAATCTTCTCACAACTTACATCATTTCCCCAATTGTTAATTTGATAAAGATGATCCCATTCTCGTTTAATTTCTTTTCGACTAGGAGTAATAATGATTGGCTCGTAATCATCATCAATGGCATTTTCGAAATTTTCATTGTTCAATGTTTTTTTAATCATCCATTCATTTAATAAACAACGAGCTTCTGCATAAACTAAAACAACAACAAAAAATCAAGAAAAATTAAATTTAATGCATTTAAAAAGAACACTGCAATGGAATGTAATAGGGAAAATTTACCATCATAAGTATTCAATAGATTAGTCGATTGATTGAAATGTTTAAAATACATTTTCTGCTGATGATGATGAGGATGATGATGAGGAAGATTCTGCTGAGAGAGAAAGAGAGAGAGAGATAATTGACACAGTGAGCACGTGAATCTACTCTCTTTCCCCTCCTCCGTTTTTTCTTTCTTTTCCTTTTTCTTTTTTTTTTTTTCCTTCTTCCTTCGTTTCTTGTTTTTTCCTTTTTTCCCTTCTTCTACTCTTTTTTCTTTTTTTCTTTTTTCTTTTTTCTTGTTGTTGAGAGAGATTCACGTGCTCACTGTGTCAATTATCTCTCTCTCTCTTTCTCTCTCAGCAGAATCTTCCTCATCATCATCCTCATCATCATCAGCAGAAAATGTATTTTTAAACATTTCAATCAATCGACTAATCTATTGAATACTTATGATGGTAAATTTTCCCTATTACATTCCATTGCAGTGTTCTTTTTAAATGCATTAAATTTAATTTTTCTTGATTTTTTGTTGTTGTTTTAGTTTATGCAGAAGCTCGTTGTTTATTAAATGAATGGATGATTAAAAAACATTGAACAATGAAAATTTCGAAAATGTCATTGATGATGATTACGAGCCAATCATTATTACTCCTAGTCGAAAAGAAATTAAACGAGAATGGGATCATCTTTATCAAATTAACAATTGGGGAAATGATGTAAGTTGTGAGAAGATTTGCAAAAAAAACACTTTAACAGTCAGTCAGTAGTCAGTCCGTCGAAAAATCGATACTTCTTAGTGTAATACGTTTCGAATTCAGTTATTTTTTTAGTTTTAAGTATTTGAAGTACAGTAAATTAGAATATTAACATATCTCATGTTGTAGTGAATGAGAACACAGGTGGGGCAACCGAATTATATTTAACGAAAATTACAGAGTTAATCAGTAAAATTGGAAAACCATATCGGAAATTGTTCATTTGCAAAATATCAGTTCATCATATCGAACTGGACTGTTGTTCCTGTTGCAAAACATCAATCCATTGTCACTATTCATGCGTTTCATACAAATTCCATTGTTTTTCTAACTCTTCCTTCTTGATCTTCCCCCATCTTCTGCTACCAGACTTTACTTTGACACTCACGTCATATACTACTTATAAGTAGCTAGCACCACAATGTAATCAGAATGGTTAAGGTGGAATTTTGTCGCTTTTTGAGTTGGATGTTTCGGTGGTGGAGCTTTCAGTGTTCTTTTGAACATCATCATTAGCATAAATTTCAGGTGGATGTCTAAAATGAAAGCTCCACAACGAAAAAATCCAGCTCAGAGATTGAAAGTCCATCTGAGCTGCAAATTTCCTCTACCATTTCATGATCAGACTTCACATAATATTTCTAATCGATAGTCGTACACTGATTACAGCAGATTTCTTGACGTATTAGTTATTTGATGAAACGATACACAGGATTTGTTTGTTAGGTCAATGCTTTTAATGGCGTGTTCTCGGATGTGGATCGTTTGATGTGGAATGTTTAATTCTTGTTCTGCATATTCTCGATATTAGCTGCTCTAGTTGTAGAATTGAACTCTCTATTTGCTTTACAAGAGCTGAATCAGTCTATCCCGCCCGATATTATTATTTATGCCTCGTTCTAAATGTAGGTTTCGTGCACTTATTAACTTTTTCATTCCCTCCAACTGTCTCATTTATTTGAATACTGTTCATATGATTTATCCGTCTACTTCGTACCGATTAATAAACTAGATTACAGATTGATCTAAATACTGCCTCAGATTTTGATATATTTACGTTAAATGTTAGACAAACATTAAAAACCTGGAGGGCCATTTCGTTCCAATATGGGACTCATCAGCAATGTGCATCCACGACTCCTGAAACTGGCAGGATTCGAACCTACGACCTTCGGTTTTGCGCAACCTCATCTTCGGCGGTCTAGCATTGATTTATTCGTGATTTCGAAAAGTCCGCTGTCTCCATAACCCCATTACTTACTTATTTACTTACGCCTGTTACCCCCTATGGAGCATAGGCCGATCTTCAGTTTTCTCCAACCAACTCTGTCCTGGGCTTCCCTCTCCAGTTCTGTTCAGTGTTTGTTCATTCCTCTCATATCTTTCTCTATTTCTCGGCGTAATGTGTTCCTTGGCCTTCCTCTTTTCCTTTTGCCTTCAGGGTTCCATGTGAGGGCCTGTCTTGTGACGCAGTTAGGTGCTTTTTCGTAGTGTGTGTCCTGTCTACTTCTAGTGCTTCTTCCGGATTTCCTCCTACACTGAAATCTGGTTTGTTCACTCCCACAGTACGTTGTTGCTGACGGTGTCTGGCCAACGACTCCGAAGTATTTCGCGTAGACAACTGTTCATAAACACTTGTATGTTCTGGATGATGGCTTTTGTAGTTCGCCAAGTTTCCGCTCCATACAGTAGAACTGTCTTGACATTTGTATTGAAAATCCTGATTTTGGTTTTGGTCTAAAGTTGTTTGGAGTTCCAGATATTTTTCAATTGTAGAAATAGAAGTTACCTTCATTATGGGGTTGTTGAGATTGTCGAGCTACTCATCATTGAAATCGTTAATCGATCATTGTTGGACCACCAACAGGAAGCACTGAACAGATGTTTCGTTCTGGCATGGAACTCATCCATGAGTCCTGTTCCTTGCAGGATTCGAACCCAGGACCTTCGGTTTTGCACGAACGCCTCGCCGGTATTGGTGTTGATGTCTAACTTCGATTACGGTCTTGCGCAACCTCATATACTGTCTTCGGTGAGCACTCATTTCACACCCAAACAGGGTTGAACTCCAGTACTTCCAGGTTTCTAATGGTAGTCTAACATTGATCGATTCATGATTTCAATAAGTGACTCAACAATCTCCACAACCCTATAATGCAAAAGTAATTTTTGTATTAAATTTTTTTAATGTTGTTACATTCCTAATTTAATGATCAACTGAATTCATCATTTTGGGGTAACTGCTTGTAATTCGGCATGATTGATCAATTTTTATTACTATATTTGCTCGTAGCATATATCAACAACCGACAATTACAAACCACTATGTAGTTTTTCCACCCGTTGAATAAGTTGGTAGTCAAGTGAACTCCTGATCTTTAAAGATAATTTGTCAGAGCCTTAATTTAAAAGTGCTGAATTTGAATTTAATGGTGACACAACACTAGGATAGAGACAAATTCATCTGATGAGCCTTAAATAGGACGACATACATATCTTTGCTTTTAGCGTTATCCGCACACTAAATATACCAATTTTATTGTATTTAGTACTTTAATATCAATATTTACATATTGTGAGGTGATTTTTTAAATGACAAACTAGCGGCATATGGTGAAGTACTAGAAACTAGGAACGAGTGGGCATCAGTCGGGTACTTTGTCCACGTTTAATATTTCGTGGCAGTGATTATTGATTACTTTAAATACAAAAAACACCAATGACTTTCAGGATATCGAATCGTGTCCTTAGCTTCCAGATATCTTTCATCCATGTCAATCCATAAGTGAATGTTAGCTTATGAAGAAATTCTAATAAATCTTCGTTTACTTACTTACTTACGCCTGGTACGCCTTATGGAGCATAGGCTACCAACCAGCATTCTTCAGCCTACTCTGTCCTAACCCTTCCTTTCTAGTTCTGTCCAATCGGTGTCCATTCTCTTCATGTATGTCTCTGTTTCTCGGCGTAATGTGTTCTTTGGTCTTCCTCTTCTTACCTGGCTCTGAGGATTCCAAGCGAGGGTGTGTCTTGTGACGCAGTCGGGTGTTTTCCTTAATGTGTGTCCTATCCACCTCTAGCGCTTCTTTCTGATCTCTTCCTGTGTTGGAATCTAGTTTGTTTCTCTCCCACAGTAGGTTGTTGCTAATGGTATCTGGTTAGTGTAGAGAATCTTTGTTTTGTTTAACATAATTTTATGTTATATAGATAAACATTTTAAAATGACACCACTAAATTGTTTAACTCATAAAATGCCACACTATTACAACAATGACATAATTCTATGAACTTATCAATCTCACTGTGTGTGTGCGTGGTTATTTTTTGGCTCAAATTTCAGTTTACAGATGATGAATATGAAGTGAAAAATATGCATTATTTAGAGCATGATTCTAAAACTACAAATTCTCATCATTCTGACTGTTCATCAAAACGTCATTCAACATTGGAAAAAATTCTTTTACGTCAAGAAGAAGCTAAAGCACGTCGTGAACTGCGTCAAAAAGAATTGGAATCACGTCGTCTACGTGAAGCGAATGATCGTCAAATGAAAGCACAAATTTTATACAAAGCAAAACAAGTAGATATGATTTTTCTACCGTAATTATTTTGTACAGATCATTCATTCAACTAAATAATTTGAATGTTTCTACTACGGTGCATGTGTGTGTTTAGAGTTATAAATTGATTGATTTGTTTCCTGCTACTCTTCATAATGCTTGATTCATAATCATATGTTATACGTTTATAAATCGTCAACATGTTCAGATTTTAAAAGATCGTTTTTGTTACAGATTGACATGAAGTGAGATGGTGAAGAAAATTTGTAGCTCAGGTGGAAGATTGTGGTGGTGTTTAGTTCTCTGAGCTGGTTGTTTTGGTTGTGGAGCTTTCTTTGTTCGTCTGCTGAACAATATCATCAGCACAAATTTCAGATAGAAGTGAAGCATTCGAATTTTTCCATGTCTGACTTGTAGCTTGTTCTGCTAACCTCGATATTGATTGGTTGTTGTTGACCTTAAACCTGTCGTTGTTTGCACCTTTGTTTTGATGATATCTCCCTTTTGATCTGTTTCTTGATTCTATGTCTCCTGTGATTTTTCTGATTGGTTGATAAATTGGGTCAGTGTCGATGCGTTTGTTGATTGCTGATTGACCTGAGTGCTAAGCTTCTAAGAATTCCCTAGTGTTCTTTGTCCTCCCCCTATGCAGTATTTCCACATTGTCCCATTCGAATGTATGTCCATTGTTGTCGGTGTGTATTGATATAAGTGAAGCTTTGTCGTGGCGTTTGGCTGCTAAGTGATGTCCACGTAAAAGGAGCTGAAGAGGCCGTCCACTTTGTCCTATGTAGTGTTTTTCACAGTCTGAGCAATCTATTTTGTATATGATATTTGGTTTTTCTTCATTTGTCATTTTGTCCTTTGGTCTACATAGGACTGATGAAGTGATTCTGTTGGTTTGTGTGCCACACCAATTCCGAATGGTCTCAGTAGTGGTGCTGTATGTTCCGATATGTCTTTTATGTATGGTGGGATGATCCGTTTATTGGTTCTTGTACTTGATTTCGCTTCTGTTGACGATTTCGGTTGATGTTTTTTGATGAAGTTGCGTGGATAGCCGTTCTTTTGGAAGATAGTCACCAGGTGTTTTTCCTCGTTTTCTAGTGCCTTATATGCACTGCTTATGTCTTCGCTCTTTTGAACAAGTTGTATGCAGTTGATTTTGTGGGTTCTTGGGTTGTTGCTACCGTAGTTGAGAATCGCGTCTGTGTGATTTGGCTTCCGAAATACTTGAGTCTACAGTTTCACTGAGTCAGTTCTGGTGATTAGCACATCCATGAATAATAGACTGTTGTTTGATTCCTTTTCCATTGTGAATTTCATGTCATCGAAGATGTTGTCGGTCGATTGTAGATGTTCCTTAGCCCGTTCCGTTTAATAATGACGAATGTGTCGTCTACATAGCGAACCCACATTTTTGGCTTGATCACTGGCAAAATCAACGCTTCTAGTCTTTGCATTACAGCTTCCGCAATGAGTCCTGATATTGGTAATCCCATTGGTGTTTGTTTTATTTGTTCGTAGACTCTTGTTGAATTGAAAATACGTTGTTAAGATTATGGAATAGTGGATCTCTGTTTCATTATAACATGAGACATGACATGTTGCATGATAAACACTGTGTTGATCTACTGTTATCCATGTTTCCGAATTCACTTAACTTGTGATATCGTATCGAGAGACTTCTTCATATATGACGTTGTAGAACTCTATTAGTTACACGTTTTGCATGAACTTTAGAGGTCTATCATAAAATCAGTCACTAGTGATCATCTATGAAAGTTCAGGATTCGATCGTGGGCGAGAACACAGGCACACAATGGGGATTGAGTCCTATTGTGGAATGTAACAAATTTCAGAAGCTCTCTGGCCTTCAGTAACTCTTGTACCAGTGCATTTGAGTGAAGAAAGTTATCGTCTAGTCAAATTAATTTTTAATGAGCTTTTTATCCCAATACTCTTAATCTATTTGTTTTAAGTTTTCTTGAATGCTTCTTCCTGATTTTAATGTATTTCCACTCAAGTTTCATTTTGTTTTATATAGGACTGTGATATGTTAGAGGACTAATTTTTAAAGAAAGTAGATTTTGATATCGTATTCACTTGTTCTACACCGATCTTCGATAAATATTTAGCATCACTTAGATAATAAAGACGAAATCAGGTTATTGAGTTTTTGGAATTTCACAGCAAAACCTAAGTGTTAGGGACGCCAGATCCCTAGGACTCACTAGATAAAGGTCCTCATTTTGAATTTTATGTTTTCACGCATGGGCTGATCAGTTGACCTAGAGATTACATTTCCCACCCGGAAAATCCTTGACCGTCATTGATGTGTTTGATGTGTTAATTTAGTACGCTATTTTTATGGCCCTCCCAAGGACGTTTCGATTATGTACAAATAAACTGGATTTGTGTGCGTGTCAACCTCGATTTCCAGGGTGCTTATAGAATACACTTACTACGTCTTGTCAAGACTTTTTCTACTACTTAGTGGGGCCTTGGGACGCTCGGATTAGAGTAGCCTATCGTGTCACTGGATCATTTGTCTTCGCTCTCGTTTACCGACTAAGGTGAACTCATAATAGTTTCAAGCATATCAATTGACGAGCATAACAATTTGGCGACGGGAATGGGATCACATGGACCCTCCGAGACTCAAATTATTATCCGAGCAGCTGCTAAACTAATGAAGATATTGATAGATAACAAGCTGCATCATTTGTGGTTTCTTACAGAGATTACAACCAAAGACGTTATCCACAAGTTAAACAACCAGCTTCGAGTAACATCGTATTCACTTGTTCTATACCAATTTCAAATTTTTGGAATCATTTAGATAATAATGACGAAATCAGGTTATGGAGTTTTTCTAATTATATAGCCAGACCTAAGAAACAACGTGGTTTTTTACGGAGATAACAACCAAAGACGTTATCAACATGTTAAACAATCAGCTTCGAGAAACAACTATCACTGTTTAATTAAAAATGTTCTAGTCGATATTTTGTGTCTTACAGTAAAGGAACTCATGATAAGAAAAGATTGATGCATCCCCTTCTCCCACACACACGCATACACACTCTATCTACATGTAAATGTACACATATTTATATCATTATATCATAAAATTCTCGAATGACTGTTTTTATTGCTGATTGTGTTTCATGTTGAAAAAAGGATGAAAAATTGAGGCAAGCAGAAGAGAAACGAGAAGAAGAATTAATTCATCAGGAGATGGTTCGAGTACGGAAAGAATTAGAACTAGAAAAACAAGCATCAATTAAAAACAAGTAGGTTGTGAAGATTAAATTTATTTGCAAAAACGTCATGATGATAACGTTATAACGAACAGTAATAAGGAATTCATGAAAGAAAAATTGGTCGAAACAACATAGAATATATTAAAATAAGAATAAACGAAAATTTAAAAGAGTCCAGGAACAAAAAAGCGAAAAAGAAAATAATTGCCTATAATCACGATGGATCAAAACAACGAAAAAAGACAAGCAAGAACGTGAAAACCAGAAAATAAAACAGATGATAAACTCAGATAGGTAAATAGTAAATAAAAAAAGGAAAAAAAAGAAACAGAAGAATTATTGGAAAAATTCATGCATAAAAACAATGAAAATTAAACAAAGCAAACAGGATAGCTAACAGAAAAATAAGAAAACAGAGCAGTGTAAGAAGTAACCGAAAGAAAATGAGGCGGAACCAGTTTTTCACCCGACTCCGATGCATCTGGAGTACATGAAACGAGATGATTATCGCCACAGAATTGTGTGACTGGTTGTGCGCTGTGGCGACACTGTTGTTAGGCGTTATGTATTGACTGATCTGTTGAAGAGTGGGTATTGGAGCGGAGCGGAGCATTCGACGGGTCGGTGGGAGTGATGATGCGACTCTCCGTCTCCGTACACCAGTTCGTCTACACAAACACTTGACAGATATTCGCAGACACACACGACACAAGAGGAATGTGTAAGGACGGGCTTTGATGAGACTTGGAGGTAAGTCAGAGTCGAAGTGGTCTGCATTGACCACGTAAGATGCCGACATCAGCGATCACAGGCTCCGTGACGGATCGCCATCAGGTTGTCATCTGATCACTATGAATCATTGGCGAGTGATGTTCTGTGTGGACCAGCATTAGTGCATCAGATGAGTGAGTGGAATGTATGCGCTAATCTGAACTAGTCATGTGAGCAGTTGTTCCCGGATGGCTTGTGTTGGAGCGTGACAACTGTTTGGAGAAGTACGCCACACGTGACGATGATGAGATATCAGTCTGCCTGTGTATTGGTCAGTTCGGTGTGACGCGATTCTCTTCGAATTCGCTCATGTCTGTGGGACACGGGATTTGAAGTGTGTTATTATTCTACGGTTACTGCTAGTAATCTGGATGGTGGACGATGGTAGTGAAATGGTTTAGGCAGTGCCCCAGTATATTCGTACTTGTGGAAATTGACGAGATCGGCATGTCAAATAGATACGTGTAGGTATATATATGGTATAAATATGAATATATACATGTATATGTATATATGTACATATAACTATATACCTTCATATGTATATATTTAGATATGTAGATACGGATTTATAAAGTGCATGCACAATGAATTTTGTGTAATTGATCTAGGAGAGAGCGAAGTGTGAGAGTGTTTGGTTGATTAGAATATTGAATGTGTTGGTGTGATTTGGAGGTGTTAGCAGTAAGTGTGGATAGGTTGATGTAATTTGAGAATGTGCGCGATCCTCATGTGTCGTACTAGTAATGTAGTAGTGGGAGTCGTAGTCGTAGTCGCACTGTTTGTTGTTGATGTGAAAATGTAGTGTTTGAGAGAGTGGATGTATTGTGAGTTGTCGGATGTTGAGTGTTTGTGTTTGAGTTTGAGGTGTGTGTGTGTGTGTGTGTGTGTGTGCGTGTGCGTGAGTGAGTGTGGATGTGGATGGAGATGGTTTGTGTAGGATGTTTGTGAATAGTGTTGTGATGAGGTGAGTGTAGGAGGCCGACGGGGAGGCCTCCATAGCTCAGTGGTTAGAGCACTGGTCTAGTAAACCAGGGGTCGGGAGTTCAATTCTCCCTGGAGGCAGAGTGTTCACACTCGCTTCGAATTGAGATCATGTTCGAGTGGTGTGACTTTTATGAACTGTCATCATCACTGATCATGAACCATGACGAAACACCGACTCGTGCGTGTTCCACTCGACACTCACAAGTTCGCGTGCAAGTCAGCATGTACTCGGAACACTGATGCTGACGATATGTCCACCTGTCAACAGCACTGTGGTCAGTTGAATTCATTGGAAATCATCGAGGCGGTCTGGTTGTTTGACTAATCCTAACACGAACTCACCGAAACGCGAAGCGTTGGATGTTGAGCGATGCAGCGAGAGAGGAGCGAATCACGCGAAACCTGTTTTTCACCCGACTCCGATGCATCTGGAGTACATGAAACGAGATGATTATCGCCACAGAATTGTGTGACTGGTTGTGCGCTGTGGCGACACTGTTGTTAGGCGTTATGTATTGACTGATCTGTTGAAGAGTGGGTATTGGAGCGGAGCGGAGCATTCGACGGGTCGGTGGGAGTGATGATGCGACTCTCCGTCTCCGTACACCAGTTCGTCTACACAAACACTTGACAGATATTCGCAGACACACACGACACAAGAGGAATGTGTAAGGACGGGCTTTGATGAGACTTGGAGGTAAGTCAGAGTCGAAGTGGTCTGCATTGACCACGTAAGATGCCGACATCAGCGATCACAGGCTCCGTGACGGATCGCCATCAGGTCGTCATCTGATCACTATGAATCATTGGCGAGTGATGTTCTGTGTGGACCAGCATTAGTGCATCAGATGAGTGAGTGGAATGTATGCGCTAATCTGAACTAGTCCTGTGAGCAGTTGTTCCCGGATGGCTTGTGTTGGAGCGTGACAACTGTTTAGAGAAGTACGCCACACGTGACGATGATGAGATATCAGTCTGCCTGTGTATTGGTCAGTTCGGTGTGACGCGATTCTCTTCGAATTCGCTCATGTCTGTGGGACACGGGATTTGAAGTGTGTTATTATTCTACGGTTACTGCTAGTAATCTGGATGGTGGACGATGGTAGTGAAATGGTTTAGGCAGTGCCCCAGTATATTCGTACTTGTGGAAATTGACGAGATCGGCATGTCAAATAGATACGTGTAGGTATATATATGGTATATATATGAATATATACATGTATATGTATATATGTACATATAACTATATACCTTCATATGTATATATTTAGATATGTAGATACGGATTTATAAAGTGCATGCACAATGAATTTTGTGTAATTGATCTAGGAGAGAGCGAAGTGTGAGAGTGTTTGGTTGATTAGAATATTGAATGTGTTGGTGTGATTTGGAGGTGTTAGCAGTAAGTGTGGATAGGTTGATGTAATTTGAGAATGTGCGCGATCCTCATGTGTCGTACTAGTAATGTAGTAGTGGGAGTCGTAGTCGTAGTCGCACTGTTTGTTGTTGATGTGAAAATGTAGTGTTTGAGAGAGTGGATGTATTGTGAGTTGTCGGATGTTGAGTGTTTGTGTTTGAGTTTGAGGTGTGTGTGTGTGTGTGTGTGTGCGTGTGCGTGAGTGAGTGAGTGTGGATGTGGATGGAGATGGTTTGTGTAGGATGTTTGTGAATAGTGTTGTGATGAGGTGAGTGTAGGAGGCCGACGGGCAGGCCTCCATAGCTCAGTGGTTAGAGCACTGGTCTAGTAAACCAGGGGTCGGGAGTTCAATTCTCCCTGGAGGCAGAGTGTTCACACTCGCTTCGAATTGAGATCATGTTCGAGTGGTGTGACTTTTATGAACTGTCATCACTGATCATGAACCATGACGAAACACCGACTCGTGCGTGTTCCACTCGACACTCACAAGTTCGCGTGCAAGTCAGCATGTACTCGGAACACTGATGCTGACGATATGTCCACCTGTCAACAGCACTGTGGTCAGTTGAATTCATTGGAAATCATCGAGGCGGTCTGGTTGTTTGACTAATCCTAACACGAACTCACCGAAACGCGAAGCGTTGGATGTTGAGCGATGCAGCGAGAGAGGAGCGAATCACGCGAAACCTGTTTTTCACCCGACTCCGATGCATCTGGAGTACATGAAACGAGATGATTATCGCCACAGAATTGTGTGACTGGTTGTGCGCTGTGGCGACACTGTTGTTAGGCGTTATGTATTGACTGATCTGTTGAAGAGTGGGTATTGGAGCGGAGCGGAGCATTCGACGGGTCGGTGGGAGTGATGATGCGACTCTCCGTCTCCGTACACCAGTTCGTCTACACAAACACTTGACAGATATTCGCAGACACACACGACACAAGAGGAATGTGTAAGGACGGGCTTTGATGAGACTTGGAGGTAAGTCAGAGTCGAAGTGGTCTGCATTGACCACGTAAGATGCCGACATCAGCGATCACAGGCTCCGTGACGGATCGCCATCAGGTTGTCATCTGATCACTATGAATCATTGGCGATTGATGTTCTGTGTGGACCAGCATTAGTGCATCAGATGAGTGAGTGGAATGTATGCGCTAATCTGAACTAGTCCTGTGAGCAGTTGTTCCCGGATGGCTTGTGTTGGAGCGTGACAACTGTTTGGAGAAGTACGCCACACGTGACGATGATGAGATATCAGTCTGCCTGTGTATTGGTCAGTTCGGTGTGACGCGATTCTCTTCGAATTCGCTCATGTCTGTGGGACACGGGATTTGAAGTGTGTTATTATTCTACGGTTACTGCTAGTAATCTGGATGGTGGACGATGGTAGTGAAATGGTTTAGGCAGTGCCCCAGTATATTCGTACTTGTGGAAATTGACGAGATCGGCATGTCAAATAGATACGTGTAGGTATATATATGGTATATATATGAATATATACATGTATATGTATATATGTACATATAACTATATACCTTCATATGTATATATTTAGATATGTAGATACGGATTTATAAAGTGCATGCACAATGAATTTTGTGTAATTGATCTAGGAGAGAGCGAAGTGTGAGAGTGTTTGGTTGATGAGAATATTGAATGTGTTGGTGTGATTTGGAGGTGTTAGCAGTAAGTGTGGATAGGTTGATGTAATTTGAGAATGTGCGCGATCCTCATGTGTCGTACTAGTAATGTAGTAGTGGGAGTCGTAGTCGTAGTCGCACTGTTTGTTGTTGATGTGAAAATGTAGTGTTTGAGAGAGTGGATGTATTGTGAGTTGTCGGATGTTGAGTGTTT